CTGGCGATACCACAAAGCCATTGCCTCCCCTTAAGTGGTGAGTTGATGACTTGCAGCATTGCTTGAGACCAGTATTGGGCAGTTTCGCTGGAGGAAACAATGGAGGGGGGGATGTGTTCGTGTAGTGGTAATGTCACTGGACTAATAACCCAGAACCCCAGGGTAATGTCCTGGAGACACAGATTCAAATCACACCACACCAGCTGGAGAAGTTTGAATTCAATTAAATCTGGAATTAAAAGTTGGCAACCAGTTGTTGTAAGGATCCACTTAGTTCACTAATGGAACAGGAGTTGCCAGTCTGCCCTACATGTGACTCTAGACCCACAGCAATGCGATTGACTCCTAACTATCATCTGAAATGGCTGAGTAAGCCACTCAGTTTAAAGGTAATGACAGATGGACAATAAATGCTGGGCCCAGCCAGTGACATCCACTTCCCACAAAAGAAGAAATAAACCCTTTTTTCTCCTTTGATGCAGACATCCTGAAAGTCCATGTCCTTCCTTTAGGCACAGTATTTTAACTATTCGAATTGGGTCTTTTAAAATATCCATTCCCGGGGTCAGTGGCAAGGCAGGAAATTCTTGGTCATCCTCTAGTTGCCCTGAATTTGATGTTGAGTAGACATTGTAACCTAGTGAATGAGTGCGGTAATATGTTTGCTGTTGCAGATGATGCAAGGATTGATGTAATTGTGCCTCCTGAAATCACAATTCAGCCAATTGCCAAATTTACACTGATTTGTCTTAGACTTGGAATTGATGTGTGATGGAACAAAATTAAAGTTCCAATAAACGTACTGTTGAGATGTTGCGGTCACTGAGTTTGATGTCCCTCGGGTCAGCAGCTGAACTCTTGGACCAGGGACAGAAAGATGCCATTTTGGTCGCATTGACCAATTTTGGGAAAACTGGTGGGATTTCAGCTCACTGAAGAGCAGCAAAGGCAGCATAGATGATGGCTGTGGCAAACTTGGCACTTGGTCTCCTGGGTGGCAGATTGTGAAATTCTCCAGATGTTGCCAGCAGCTCTGTGAAAGGTGATGGTATTGTTGAGTTTCAAGGCTATGCTAAATCTGGACAGAAATTCTTCTTCCAGGAGTCTACAGATGTTTGCACCAACCAGCCACAGAGAACAGAGGCTCCCTCGTGTCCAGGAAATTGATCTGCTCTTTGTCTGTGGGAATATGTTCTCCTTCAAACTGGAGCTTTATGTCCACATCCTCTGCCCTGTCAACTGGAATGTAGTTGGTGAGGACACTGTAGCTCCTTGGGTTGTTGATGCTTCTGTTCCTTGTTAGAGGTCTAAAATGGAGCTGCATTAGCTCTCCAGTGCTCCCATGCTGCAGGGAATGCTTACAGTGAGGAAGATCAAATCAGTTTAATAACTATCAAAGGTAACAAAAAGGATCCTTTCTCCCTCCCCCTCAAGAAGCCTTGGAAATCACTTCCAAAGCAATGAAGCCACACTCTCAGAACACATCCTGCAAGTAAAATCCTGTCACTCAGCACAGAAGCACCTCTAAGCTGAGAGGATTTAATGGTTTTCCAGTTTGTTAGTTTCATATTTTTGTCAATTCACTGTCTTCTCACATGGTTTGATCTGGTGAATTTCAGACAGCCCAGGAAACCCCTCCTGGTCACTAAAGCCAGAATGCAGGGTGAAAGCAGTAGTCAGTACTTGAATGTGAATCACAGACCTGCCTGTCTCAGAAGGGTTTATGGTGTGTGAATAAACGCAGGTGAGTTAGATGCAGAGTTTGGCACCAATGTTTTTTGGCCAATGTTAACATTTTGCCAATGCTAACCTGCTGTGCACATCAACCCCTCATGGACCCTGGTGGGTTAGAGCTCAGTCTATCCTCTCTGCACTGAGACAGAAGCACCATGGACCTCTTCCACTGGGAGTAGCATTAATTGTTCTTAGCAAGGCCGTGTTAACTGGACTCCACAGGGCTGTGGCTTTAATGTTCCAAGGTCAAGTCCCATTCCCAGGGCTTGAGCACAAAATTCCAATCTAAGTCCCAGTGCAGCATGGAGGGAGCGATGCACTGTTAGAGATGCTGTCTTTCAGTTCCATCGTTAGACTAAAGCTCCATTTGCTTGCTCGTTGAATGTAAAAGATCCGTGGATTAGGAAAGTTAGCATAGAGCATAGAACATGTTACCATTCTAAACTAATCCCATCTGCCTGTATCCTTTATTGTCTGCCTGTTCATGTGTGTGTCTAAATGCTTCTTAAGCATTGCTAACATATATGCTTCTACCACCTCCCTTGACAACATGTTCCAGGCACCTGTCATGCTGAGTATAAAAAAACTTACCTCGCACATCTCCTTTAAACATTCTCCCTCTCGCCTTAAACATATGCCCCCTAGTATTTGATATTTCCACCCTATCCATACCCCTCATAATTTTAAATAGCTCTACCAGATCGCCCTTCAGCCTTCAACGCTCTAGCATAAACAGTCCGAATTTGTCCAACCTCTCCTTATAGCTAACACACGCCAATCCAAGCAACATCCTGGTAAACATCTTTTGCACCCCCTCCAAAGCCTCCATATCGTTCCTATAGTGTGATGACCAGCACTGGATACAATACTCCAAATGTGGTCTCACTAAAGTCTTATTCGGATGCAACATGACTTGCCAACTTTTATACTCAATGCCCTGACTGATGCAGGCAAGTATGCCCATATGCCTTCTTTACCACATTATCCAAATGTGTTGCCACTTTCAGGGAACCATTGACTTATACACCAAGATCCCCCTGTGCATCAATGCGCTAAGGATCCTGCCATTTGCTGTATATTTTCCTCTTGCATTTGACCTCCTAAAATGCATCAGGTCACACTTGTCTAGATTAAATTCCATCTGCCATTTCTCCGCCCAACTTTCCAAGTGATCTATATCCTGCTGTATCCTTTGACAACTTGCCTTACTATCCACAACTCCATCAATTTTCATGTTATTTGCAAACTTACTAATCAGATCACTTACATTTTCATCCAAGTCATTTATACACACACACACTATATATAACAAACACCAGAGATCCCAGGACTGATCCTTGTGAAACACCACTAGTCACATAAAACTACCCTCTGTCTTCTATGGCCAAGACAATTTTGTATCCAACTTACCAACTCATCGTGAATTCCATGTGACTTAATCTTCTGGACCAGTCTACCGTGAGGGCCCTTGTCAAATGCTTTAGTAAAGTCCCTGTAGACACCATCCACTGCCCAATCCTCATCAAACATCTTTGTCACTTCCTCAAAAATACTTAATTAAATTTGTGATACAAGACCTCTTGCACATAAACCCATGCTGAATATCCCTAATAAGATCATTCTTTTCCAAACGTGAGTTAATCCTGTCCCTAAGAATCTTGTCCAATAATTTCCCTACCACTGATGTAAGGCTCACTGGCCTATGAATCCCTGGATTATGCCTGTTGCCCTACTTATACAAAGGAACAACATTGACTGCCCTAAAGCCCTCATGAGTTTTCTACCAGAGTCAGGATGGATATACAAATGGCACAGTGCTCATGATCATTCCTCGCTGCACTGGGCAGGCTTTGATGCAGGCAGTATCTGTAAGTTACGATTATTAATAACTCCAAATCCTACTCTGTCTATAATGACAGGTGAGGTTCAGGTGACCAGTTAACATACTTCTTTCTTTGAGTGACCTAGAAATAGCTTTCAATGCAAAGTGGAACAAGCTGGTTTATAAAGTAGTTTTTCATTAGTTGTGGCTTCAGCCACCAGCAGGCAAAGGTCTTGTGTCCAGTATTAGGTGGCATAATTGTTTTAGTAACTAGATAAGTATCTGAGAATGTCTGCCTGAAAATCTCAAACATTCGTTTATGAATCTAACCTAAATTCTCTGGCAATTTGTGAATGTCTGTGTATTAGCTTTTGAGAATTACTCAATCTGCCCTCCATAGAAGGGGTAGGATTCACTTGCTGGTGGTGGGTCATACGTGGGACTGTATTCAGAGTAAATGTTTGCTGTTACATACACAGGCTCTCGCTATCCTTGGGCAGGAAACAGTACCAGAATGTGGGTGATGAGAACTTCTGGAAAACCCATGTGTATAGCTAGCGTAAATAGCCAAAAGTAGTGATTCCCCTGAAGCAGACCAAAGTGAAATGGAGTTTCTTTTTGATGAATATACAAAGCATAGTGCCCCAGGGTCAAAAACAGAAGTTATTGGAAAAGTTCAGCAGGTTTGGCATCGGTGGAGAGAAATCAGAGTTAACGTTTCGGGTCCAGTGACCCTTCCTCAGAACCCAGGGTCAATCTGTTTGTTGTATGGCTAATTCTTCTGTTTTGCATAGGTTTCTGTCAGATAAATAGAGTGCTGGCACCCTTTTTTTTTGATCACACATTACTGTTTAAATGTCACCAGTGCCCAGTGCATCATTTTTGCCAAGTCTGTTGGGAGACAGGTTTTGTGTCTTCCCATGAGAAATTTCCCTTTGAAAGTTAGTAATCTGGTTTTTTCACACAATTCCTACACTCCTCTGTCTTCTCCAATCCCAAATGGTGACTCTCCAGAACCTGTCAAGACGAGATAAATTACAACAATGTGAGGTTTGTTATTCACTCTAAGACTAACCAAAAGTTTACAAGTTGGTACACTCCCAATAGACTGGGTTAAAAAGATCACAGAAGGTGGATTAAAGCCAACCAATACAGAAAGAAGAGCTGAGAATTTCACTGGAATTTCTCCAGCTCCATCCGAAACCAGTTTTATCCATTTGTATCAAATTTCAGCTTATGTTACTTTGGTAGAGTGGGGACATCTCTGGAAACTCCTAGAGATTGGTTCTTCATCCATTGTCTTAAATACAACAGCCAATCAATGTGCCTGTCTGATTTGTTTCATTCCTGTAAAGTATATTACCACTTGTTAACTCAAATGTGGTTTGAATAGATCATACTGGTTCAAAATCTAATGACTTCTTTTTTTCCTTTCCCTCCACAGAATATTATTAAGAAGGTGATTGGACAGAAGTTTGTTTACAAATTTGTCTCATTTCCAGACATTTTAAAAATGGATCCTCACTCGCTGGAATCCAGTCGGGAAAACATTTTGCTCAGGGATAGTGACACTCCATCGATTTCAGAGAGCAGAGATCACCAGCAAATAACATTATCTAGTGGCAGAAGTCCCAGTCGCAATGATTATATCCACTCTGGATTATATACTTCTTTCACCATTAACTCTTTGCAGAATAGGTCTGACTTTTTCAAGTCAATCAAAATGGAAAAGCCAGAAGAGAAAATTGCAAGGAAACCTACCTCCGAGGAGGTCAGAACTGTTATAAGATTTGTAGCCAATAAAAGTGAAACACCAGTTACCATGCCCATCAGCTCTGTTCCATCCTCACATTCTCCATCCCCAGAAGCTGTGGTCGCGTCATCTTTCTTCACTGCTCTCACCTCTAAAACATCGCCTCCTTTATCATCACGTCATTCCCCTGTTGCTTCGTCGTCCTCAAATACCTCCTCCTCAACGGGGTACCAGAAGGCATGCATTATTGAACTTGATGCGTTCGATTCAGAACAGTCTGTTCAGCCCCTAAACCTCTCCTCAGGTTCGAAGGCCAAATCGCCTTGTCCGGCTGAGCAGAGACAAAGCCATCTTCCGAAAGCTAAGAAACCCAAAGGCCTGGAGATTCCAGCTCCTCCTTTAGTCATAACCAACACTGATGCCGGCTCAATCGCTCTCAACAGTCCAGCACTTCCTTCTGGATCCCTCACTCCTGCCTTCTTCACTGCACAGGTTAGTTTGTTCGGTTACATCTGGTTTGAAGTAGATGATGTTTTCAGCACTAAATCTGATCTTTACACATTAGCGTCTTAATATGTGTTGCATAATGATGTTAAATCACAGCAAGTGAATCAAAAACTTCTCAATTTCTACTCACTAGATTTTTAAAAAAAGTTGCATCTTCATAGTGGAATATGAATACAATATTCCACTTGGATTATGAATCAGGTTATTTTTAAAAAAATGTATTTGTTGTCTCTAACAGAATAAATACGAGCATTAAGGATTGGATCAATAATTTCTCACCCTCAGTGACAGTAGAAGTGCCCTCCAAGGTTCACCAGAGCACCATTTGATGCAGAGAGCAGTTTCCTTACATTCATCCCAAACTTCAGAAAACCTTTGCAAACTGCATCAGTCTAATTATTTTTGTATCTGACAGCTTGTAGACTCCAGGAGATAGATTACAAGCTTTACCCAGCTGATCACTTGCTTCGATTTAGTTTTGTAAATATCATATACTGTTTTTTTGTTCAACAGATTCAAATATTAATGTGTGTCAGTTGTAGCTCAGTGCGTAGCACTTTCAACAGATTCAGAAGCTTTCTTTTTGTCCAGAGACTTCAGCACATGCTCCAAGCTGTAATTTTAGTGCGATACTGAATGAGTTCTGCATTGTCTTTCAGGCTGGACTAGCTGCTCTCACAAATGGATGTAAAAGATCCCATTGTACAGTTTGAAACCTTTCCCCCTCCACATTATGGGATTGTAAATTTAGAGGAGACCGATTGAGCCTGTGCTGCTCTTTGCAAGAGCAGTTCAGCTAGTCCCACCGCCTCTCCTGATTGCATAGCCTTGCCGTTTACTCTCCCTTCAGTTATTAACACTGTATGAAAGCCACAACTAATTCAGACTTCAGCCCTCTGCACCGCAGTGCATTCCAGATCACAATTTCTTGAGTGGAAAAGAATTTTTCTGATCCCACCTCTGGTTGTCTTGCCAATCACTTTATATCAGAGTCCTCTAGTTCTTGTCTATTCCACCAACAGAAATAGTTTCTCATTCCCTACTCTGAACAGATCCCTTATTATTTTTAACATCGATATCTCCTTTTAACATTCTGTGTTCAAAGGACAGCAGCCCCAGTTACTGCAGTCTATCATTCCCTCTAAAGTTCTCTACCAGCACAATCATTCCATAATCTTTTACTTGCCCATGCTTTTCTAAAGTGAAGAGCCCTGATTGCACACGTAGTCCAGTTGAACTTAAACCAATGTTTAATAAAGATTCATGATAACTTCCTTGTTTTTCTACTGTATGCCTTTATTAGTAAAGCATAAGATGCTATAAGCTTCATTCACCGCTTTATGAATCTGCCCTGTTATCATCTACTCAGGTACATTGTGCACAATTAGGCCCAGGTTCCTCACCTCCTTTAGAATGATAATCTTTACTCTATTATAGATAACAAGGTGTAGAGCTGGATGAACACAGCAGGCCAAGCAGCAACAGAGGAGCAGGAAAGCTGACGTTTGTGGTCTGGACTCTTCTTCAGAAAAAAATGTTGTTTCTATTGTTTCTTTTCACTCTTCTTACCAAATGTATAAAACATATCACACTTCTGTACCTTGAATTACATCTTCCAGTTTTCTACTCCTTCTGACAACCTGTCTGTCCTGTTAAAGATTATCATTATCTTCCTCATTTCCCAATGCTTCTATGTTTTGTGCCATTTGAAAATTTTGAAATTGTATCCTGCACATGCAAATTTAAATCATTACTAAAAATCAGAAAATGTAGGGTTCCTAGTGCCAACCTTCAGCATCAAAAAAAAACCTACCTATCACTAGTATCTATAGAAGACTTTGGATTCCCTTTTATGTGAGCTGCCTGTCACTTCTCATATTCACTCTTTGCTTTTCTGATCTTTATCACCTTCACTTCCAAACTCTCCATACTCACCCTGGGTCTGACTTGTGGTATCAACCTAACATTTGGAGTACACTTACGTTTTCCGCTACACATTACTATCTGTCACTTAGGGAGCTCTAGTTTGATTTGCCCTATCTTTTCCCTTCTTGGGAATCTGCCTCACCAATACCTGAACTCTATCTCCTCCTTAAAGCAGTTTAAAATTTTCCTAGTTATGTATTTCAGTGCTGTTTGCAGGGCCTCCCTTTTATTATTTGGTGTGTTTCTCTACATTACGACAGCAACAATGCTTCAATGATACTTATTTAATTGAATATTTTCTTGAGTAGCTTGGGTTTGTGAAAGGCTCTATGCAAATACAAATGCTTTCTTTGTTCTTGGTTCCTTCAATAAATTATAATAAATATCATTTTTAAATGAACAGATAGAGAGCTCAGTTCCAAAATTGAACATGTAATAGAGGCCCAAGCTCATACAAATCACAGCTTCATTATTTGGTGCAAAGCTAAAGAATTTGTTCACTTACAATATCTGTTTGATGCAGATATCCATAATGGGGGCTGTGACTGGTACATTATTGTTAATATGATTAAAATACAAGAAAATTAATTATTTAATTTGGGTCCACTGAAAGAAAAAGGACAAGCTTTTCTTTGGCACCTTCCATGATTTCTGGATGCCTCAAAACATGTCGCAGCTAAATAAGAATTTTTCAACTGTGGTTACTATTGGAATATCATTGTCACAGTAGCCAATGTGTGCACAACAAGATCCCACAAACATTCGTCCTGCTCTCATCATGTCTGATCCTCTATCTCAAAGCTATATTCCGGCTTTCTCTCCATACCCCATGATGCCTTTAAATTTCTAGAAATTTATCTCTTTCTTGAATATATTCAGTGACTTGGCCTCCACAGCCTTTTGTGGCAGAGAATTCCACAGTTTCACGACCCTTTGAGTGAAGAATTGTCTCCTCATCTCAGCCAGAAATGGCCTATCCCGTATCCTGACACTATGTCCCCGGTTCTAAGCTGACCAACCAGGGAAACAAAGTGAGAATGGACCACAGGGTCTTCTACATTCACCTAAGAGAGTGGGTGGAGCTCTGAATTAAGATGTCACCCACAAAGCAGCTTCTAGCACGGTGTGGCACTCCCTCAGTATGGCACAGGAGTGTCAAGCTAGGTCTTTGTAAAGGATCATCGACTCCAAACCTTCAAGCTCCCTGATGAAAGTGCTGCCACTGCTGACAAGTTGACTTATTGATTAATCTAATTACATTTTCATTTTATCATTATAGACACCTAATGGCATTCTGTTGACTCCAAGCCCCTTACTCTCCAGTATTCATTTCTGGAGTACATTAAGTCCAGTGGCTCCCTTGAGTCCTGCTAGACTCCAGGGGCCTGGGTCTTTATTTCAGGTATGTGTGAATTGTTAAACATTACTATCAGGGCCATCTCCTCTGATGTTTCAATGAGCTAAGTCTACTATAAGCTTGATTGTGTTGCTAAATGTTCTTTTAAAACAGTTCTTGGGCAAGACGTTATGGTTCCTTTGGGGATGGGCTTGGAGGCGGACGGATTGAAGAAATGATGTGAGAAGGCATCAGAGTGGTGCTTGTTGTTTCCCACTGCCATTCTTTGGGCCAGTGGCAGCAGATGAGCTGACCGCCAGGAGGCACATTGGCTGATTCAAGGTTTCTTTGCAGCAGAGGGTTGATTGGGGAACTCTCCAGGGGGAATTACAAGGCCAACCCTCTGGTCTGTGGGCGTCAGGGCTGGAGGCCCCTCCTTTGATAGGCACTTCTGGCCTGGAGGAGCTGTAGTGATAACACCACCAGTACCTTTCACCCACCCTTTCCTGCACCAACTGTAGACCCTGTACCTCTCCACTCAGACAGTCCTGGTACCCCCAGGTATCCTTTGGCTGATACCCTCCCCACCATCAATACATCCTCATCTTCCAGGAGTAGCTACAGCTGACAGTGGCACTACCTGCCCTGTGACTTGGCAGAATCTCTGGAACATGCCGACCTACACAGGAGACACTGGCGCAGTGATAACAAGTAAAGAGGGTGGGGGAGTTGTGTTATTGATCAAGGAGAAGGTCACGGTTGTACTGAGTGAGGACATCCTGGAGGGCTAATCCAGTGAGGCCATATGGGTAGAACTCAGGAATAAGAAAGGTGTACTCACTATAATGGGGTTATGCCATAGGCCTCCCATTAGCCAGGGAGAGATGGAGGAACAGGTATGTAGGCAGATCATGGTTGTTTTAGTGGCTGCTTTTAACTTCCCCAGTGTTGACTGAGACTCTGTTTTGGGACTTAGGTGGGGCAGAATTTGTTAGGTACATCCGGGAGGGTTTCTTGAAACAATCTGTAGACAATCCAACTAGAGAAAGGGCCATATTAGATCTGGTATTGGGGAATGAACCCAGCCAGCTGATCAGTTTCAGTGGAGGAGCGTGTTGGGTACAGTGATCATAATTCTATAAGTATTAAGATAATTATGGAAAAGGGTAAGACTGGTTCTCGGATGAAAGTGATAAATTGGCGCAAGACTAATTACAACAGTATTAGGCAAGAACTGGAGGAATTAGATTGGGGTACGGCTTTTTGAGCGTAAATCAACATCTGATGTGGGAGTCTTTTAAAGACCAGTTGATCAGAGTTCAGGATCAGCATGTTCTTGTGAGGATAAAAGAAGATAAGAATGGCAAGATTTGGAAACCCTTGGATGACGAGATGTTGAAAGTTTAGTCTCAAGTTAAAAGAAGCATATGTAAGGTTTAGGAAACTGAAATCAAAAAAGGCCCTTGAGGAATATCAAGGAAGCAGCAAAGAACTTAAACAAGAAATTATGAAGATTAGAGGGTGCAATAAAAAGTCCTTTGCGAGTAGGATTAAGGTAAATCCCAAGGCATTTTATGTGTATATTAGGAGCAAGAGGATAACTAGGGAAAGAGTAGGCCCACTAAAGGACAAAGGAAGGAATTTATCTATGGAACCAGAGCAAGTGGTTGAGGCCCTGGATAAGAAATTTCCTTTGGTACTCACCAAGGAGAAGGACATGGACAGTGGTAAGATTAGAGAGGGATATGTTGATATTTTGGGGCATATTAAGAAGAAGGTGATGTTTGGTGCTTGAAAAACATTAAGGTAGATAAATCCCCAGGGCCTGATAGGATCAATCAGATGTTGAAGGAGGCGAAGGAGGAGATTGCTGGGGCCTTTAAAGAGGATACAAAGATTTCTGTTGCCACAGGTGAGGTCCCAGAAGACTGGCGAATATCCAACGTTGTTTCTTTGTTTAAAAAGGGCAACAGGGAATATCCAGGACATTATAGGTTGGTGATCCTTACATCAGTGGTTGGGGAATTAAATGGAGAAGATTCTTAGGGACAGGATTTATTTATATTTGGAGAAGAATGTATTTATTGGGGATAATCAGTATGGCTTAATGTGGGGGAGACATTGTCTCACAAACTTGGTTGAGTTTTTTGAGGAAGTAGTGAAGGTGATTGATGAGGGTAGGGCAGTGAAGGTTGTCTACATGGACTTTACTAAAGCGTTTGATATGGCCCCATATGGTAGGCTGGTCCAGGAGATTAAGTCACGTGGAATGCATGATGAGTTATCAAGTTGAATATAAAATTGTCTTGGTCATTGAAGACAGAGGGTAATTGTAGAGGGGAGTTTTTCTGACTGGCTGCCTGTGACCAGTGGTGTTCCACAGCAACCTGTGCTGGGACCTCTGTTGTTTGTAATATATGTAAATGAATTTGGATGAAAACTGGCTAAGTTGTGGATAGTGAGAAACGTTGTCAAAGGATACAGCAGGATAGCTGGTCTCCCTACTATAGGAGGAATGTTGTGAAACTTGAAAGGGTTCAGAAAAGATTTACACGGATGTTACCAGGGTTGGGGGGTTTGAGCTATAGGGAGAGGCTGAATAGGTTGGGGCTATTTTCCCTGGAGCATCAGACACTGAGGGATAACCTTATAGAGGTTTATAAAATCATGAGGGGCATGGATAGGGTAAATAGACAAGGTCTTTGCCCTGGGGTGGGGGAGTCCAATACTAGAGTGCATAGGTTTAAGGTGAGAGGGAAAAAATTTAAAAGGGACCTAAGGGGCAACTTTTTCACGCAGAGGGTGGTGCGTGTATGGAATGAGCTGCCAGAGGAAGTGGTGGAGGCTGGTACAATTACAACATTTATAAGGCATCTGGATGGGTATATGAATAGGAAGGATTTGGAGGGATATGGGCCAGATACTGGCAAATGGGACTAGTTTTTTTAGGATATCTGGTCGGCATGGACGAGTTGGACCGAAGGGTCTGTTTCTGTGCTGTATATCTCTATGACTCTATATAGAAATGGTGGATGAAGTTTAATCTGGACAAGTGTGAGGTGATGCATTTTAGGAGGTCAAATGCAAGAGGAAAGTATACAGTAAATGGTAGAATCCTTAGGAGCATTGATGTACAGAGGGATCTTGGAGTGAAAGTCCATAGCTTCCTGAAAGTGGCAACAGAAATGCATAAAATGGTAAAGAAGGCATACGGCATGCTTACCTTCATCAGTTGGGATATTGACTATAAAGGTTGGCAAGTCATGTTGCTGTATAAGACTTTAGTCAGGCTATGTTTGGAGTATTGTATGCAGTTCCGGTTGCCACACTATAGGGAGGATGTGGAAGCTTTGAAGAGGGTGCAGAAGAGGTTTAGCGGGGTGTTGCCTGGATTGGAATGTATTAGTTACAAAGAGAGGTTGGACAAACTTAGATTGTTTTCACTAGACATTAGAGGCTGGGGGACAACCTGATAGTATGTAAAATTATGAGTGGCATGGATAGGGTGGAAAGTTGGAGTCTTTTTCCAGGGTGGAAATGAGGGAGAAAGTTTGAAAGACATGTGTGAGGAAAGCTTTTTCACACAGAGGATGATAGGTTCCTGGAATGCACTGCCAGAGGAGGTGGTAGAAGCAGATATGTTAGCGATGTTTAAGAGGCATTTAGACAGATACATGAACAGGCGGAGAATACAGGGATACTGACCAAAGGTAGGCAGATGGGATCAGTTTAGAATGGCAGTATAGTTTGCACAGACATAGTGGGCTGAAGGGCCTGTTCCTGTGCTGTACTGTTCCAAGTTCTATCAATAGTCCAATAATTCTGAAACCTGGGCTAATTCTCTGGGGACGTAGGTTTAAATCCAACCACAGCTGCCAATGAAATTTAAATTCAACCATAAAGATTTAGATTTGAAAGCTCCTGTCAATAATGGTAGCCATAAAATTGTGGTAAAAATCCATCTGGTTCACTCAGATTCTTCAGGCCATTCTTACCTGGTCTGGCCTACATGTGACTCAACAAAATGTGGTTGAGAAAAAAGCAAAGTTGCTGGAAAAGCTCACCAGGTCTGGCAGCATCTGTGGAGGA